GTTTGGCCACTTATGTTCAAACGAAACTGATTTAAAGTGGAACAATTATAGAAAAAGGCCAACAGGATGACTAGAGGCTGGTAGGTATGTAAGAATGCATGTATCAAAAGCCTACCTGAAAAGCGAAGATTAGAGAAGGCTGGCTTGTCTAGTTTTGCTAAATGAAGGCTGACAGTAAGATTGCCGGCTCTTTATACACTACAAAAATAAACACTGGGGACAGAACAAGAACTAAAGGTCAATACTGGCACAAATTGGCACAAGGACAAACGCACATAAGCTTGTCATGAATACACTTAGACTGGAAATTAGAAGTTTTACAACCATTAGAGAATCCAGGCACCAGGGCAGCCTTCTAACTGGAAGAGCAGAGACAAAACCCGTTAACTTTTCAAGCTGGGGTTTGACAAGTTTCTGAAGAGGATTGTATGTGTTTTCCTCTGAGAAAGTGGCACTAGAGCTCACAATTGAAGAGGTCCCTTCCAGTCCTATGCTCTTATTTCCTTCAAAGGAGTCTCGATGCCTTTGTCATGGTGATATTTACAAAACAAAGCTATAGAAAATCAACTCAGTGGTTTTTAAGCATTAATATCTGAAACCTCCAAGCTTCGAAAAGCACCCACTCCATTAGCTAGGGAATGAGCCTCTCCAGTGTGAACTGATAGGCTTAGGGAAATGCTCTGATTTCATACATCTTTAAAATGCAGTTCTCCAGAAATTATTGAACAAATTTGTTTAAACAATGATTGATTAACCAATCTAAATATGCAACACCTAATAAGGATTACATATCAGAGTCAAGTCCCAGACTTCAGGTCTTTCGCCATCAGAAAAAAAAGCTTTATTAGCTTTCAAATAGTATATTCTTCCTATCCACCCCCTTAAATTCAAACACAGACGGGATTTTGTTCAAACTTTAAAAAAAAACCCAACCCACAATTGGATAAAGACCAGACATAGTCCGAAAGCTTAATGTTTCAGCAAGTAAGGAGTACATGGAAAGAAGGCATTAATGGAAACTGTTTTGGAACTCTAAGTACAGAGGATGATATCTAGTGACTGCCATAACACTGAATCTGCACTGCCATTAAACTTAATCTTCGATATTTTTACTGCAACCTGACCCACTATGACATCTCTAAAGAAAATTACATTGTACACTACTATTTCAAGAAGTCAAACTTAGCTAGTCATCTGGGCCATAAAATAGCAGATTACTCCATCAGGCTGGCTAAAGCAGCTAGGAATAAAACTAGATTTACCAACCACATTATTTTTATTAGGAAATGTTTCAAAGCAGACATAATCCCAAAAGACCTTAGCCTCATTCCATCCAAAAATACACAACAGAGAGCAGCAAAAACATGAACTGCAGTGTAAGGTACAATTTGTAAATGTGAGAAAAAAAATACAAGATGTGCTGTAGTATATCATCCTATCAAAGCAAAGTAAATTAACTGAACATAGAAACAGAAAAGAAGAAAAACTTCTACACAATTCATGTATTAACAATTTAAACCTTTGTTATAAGATTTGACATGTGTTAATAGGAATTGCTCCATTGAATCCCCACACATCAAGATTTAGTCTGTACTCCTTTTGCTTCCTTTGAAATTGCAGGCTAATACAGGTGTACTAAATCACAGCTACAGAGTAAAAACTCCAGGATGGGCAAAAGGAAAAAACAGTATCCTTAACAACAATATTCCTGAAGAACTCTGGTATGTTAGCACTCCACGCGTTTTGTTTTGGATCACAGCCACAGAACAGCTAAAGCACTGCTGCTTCTGTAATCATTCTAAATGTGGGGAACCACTCATAATAGCAACAGGAAAAAAAGCAACAAATTTACTTGGCAATCGCAACACTTCTCAGTAATTCCTTGTATCATCATGTTTTCTAACAGGTATTCATGCATACATAATATATAGGTCTTTGTAGATCTGGAATGAAGGAGAAGTAAGGGATTTGATAGCTGGAAAGGCAAGCTTTAAATTTTAAATACTGTCAAAGTAGGTTAGATGTATGATGAGCGTTTTATCATCTAACCAAGCATTCATGTCTTTCAGTTTTAACCTTTTTTTTTCATAGGCAATACGATCACCTCAGGCAGTTTGGTTTAAAGGCTTTAGCCAACGTAAAAATATATTTAAATTAGCCAGGCATTTGTTACTTTTTTTTTTGTAAGATTTAAATACTGTCTGCATTTTACAAAGCTTGTTCTATTATGCTAGCTGCATCAAACACAGAATATTAATCAGACTGTGAAGCTCCACTAATTATGCCACATTGAAGTAACTTAAATTTTGTTAAGTGGCATGGCCACAGATATTGTATGCATAATCGAACTGAGTTTTGAGTCATTTCCCTTTTCTTGTCTGATTTTATTCTAGACAGGAAATGACACGGTCGTTTGGAAATAACTGCAGTGAAAGATCAAAAAGGAAACCTGATTGAGAACACTGTATAATTGCTTGTGCTAGAGAAAAAATAAAATCCAATGAGTTTACAATCCTCCGCTATAAGATTTCTCTGGAAAATGCATCTGCGGTTTCTCTAAAAGGATATCCATTACAACACTAAGTACTGCTTTTATTTGTTATAGCTGCATCTCTTCTAACGAAGCAGCTCTTCTACTAGGGTATTGGACTTTAATTCGGTAGGTAACACTTTCGGCACACATGGAGCACAAATTTAGTCACTGAGCCGTTTCAGTCAAAACAAATCATTTCAGTTGAAGCAAGTCATTTCACTGACGTCTCAAAGTATTCATTTGCTAAAGGAGGTAATACTGTAATTAAGGTCTTGGAACATCATGGTTCTTGTTTGGTCATTACAATTTACAGTCCCCCCCCATTCCAAAAGAACAGACTTTTATCACTGGAGCTAAAAGAAAATTTTTAGACATTAGCAGCACTCAGCTCAGAGGAAGCAGCACATCCAGCTGTGGGCCATGGTGTGCCTACATGGGCTTTTTTTT